AGTCCCAGGCCATGCAGAGGGTCTCGGCCAAGGAATACCAACCAGAGGGACTGAAGGCAGGCCGGGGGGACCCAGCACGGCTCCTGCCCCAACACCACCTTGGGACTGGGCCTTGCCCCTGGGTGCCCCCCGCTCCCCATGCCACACTCCTACCCAGACAAGCCCCACCTTCTGTGGACACATTTCAACCTCACCAAATCAGCTAATTATTGACAGTTGGTGAAGAGGAGATTTCACTTTTTCCTCCTGTTAAACTGCTCCTAATTAGTTCCCTGTCACCACGCTGGCTTGCACGCAGCCCGTTCACAGTGCCTCATTAACCTTTTGCTCCTCTCCTGCCGCCTGCCAACAAGATGAAGACAAAAACAGATTGTCGAACAATGGCTCCGGCTTGTATGTACAGCCCTGTTCCCCAGCCCCTCAGCTCTCAGGGGAACGGGGCGGGTGGGTGGGGGCTGCAGACAGGAGGACAGACAGAGAGGAATCAAGGAAGGGAGAAGAGACACAAAGGATAGAGGCAGAAACAGAGGCAGGGAGGAGGGAAGGGCGGCTTGGCCAAGGTAGTGCTTCTTAGTCTCAGGAGACATGAGGTTCATTAAACAGGATTGGAAGCATTTCCAGGTAGGGACCACTTGCTGTCAGAGTGGAAAGGACATTTGCCATCATCCCATTCAGCCTCTTATGGGTCTATGGACTGGACTCGACCTCCTTGAGGGACTGAGGCACCAATACATGTGGTGGATAAGTGGAGCAGGGACAGAGGCCTGGAATTCAGAGCCCTAATCTCCAGAGAGGGCAGGGTCAGAAAGGGCATCACAAATCAGGAAGCCCAGGGAGGCTTCTACTACCTACCTGACCTAGAGTGGGCCCTGGGGCAAACACAAGCATAGTCCTCCCCACCACCTGATAGTTCTTGAGTTTTTGTTTCTACCACTGGAATTGAGACTCTCTGACACCACCATGATACCACCATGCCAGTTACAAGAAGAGAAAGTGCTTCCAATCTATATGGGGGACTATGAGACAGGGAACAGATTCTGGGTGGGAATGGGCCTGCTCATGCCTGGGAACAGTCTGGCCAAGTGTGTCTGAGTTACAAAGCCCATCTGGTTAGGTTACAGGGCCCATTTGGGCAGACTCCATGTTCCCTGAACAGCCTGGTCCCAGTTGAGAGGCCTGGCCCTGTCCCCCAGTTCTCACAGGTCATGAGGAGGTTCTCAGGTCCATCTTTTGGGCTGCTCGACTCCCCTACCCCTTCCTCAGCTCTCAGAAAACAAAGATGTACACTCAAGCAGGTCCTTGTGAAAATGTGTACCGATTCCTTGTGAAGGACAGGAAGCCAAGGGGAGGACATTGGAATGCTCCTACTGATAAGTAAGCAGTGAGTGGTCTGGGCCTGTTTGTACAGTGAGGTGTGGACAGGCTGAATCTTTCTGCCTGGGTACTAAGCCAGCTCCACCATTACCAACATGTTCCTCTGGTAAGGTATTCAACCTTAAAGAGCCTCAGTTTCCTCATTTGTAAACAAGGGACATTTGGTGCCCTCCTTGTAGGGTTGCTTGTACTGGATTCTTCAATTCCCTGCCATAGCAAACTAGGCCCCTCTACCCACTGGGCCCAGGGACCCCTGGAGGCCAGGTCTTCTACCTTGGGCTAAGGGTAGTCTCTCTGATCACTGCCCTTTTGACAAATCCCCCATTCCCATTTTCCAGAGCACCAATGAGTGGAAATTATTTTGCTGATCTCCCATGATTACCTATCCCCGAGCTCACTTCTCTCAACAAAGTCAGAAAACTGATTACCATTTTGATTCCTAGATGGCTGGGTCTAGCTATATCACCTGGTCATCAAGTTTTATCAGTTTCACAAATCCCTTCTGTGGTAGCTCACTCTGAAATGCCCTTGTCCTTGGTTTTCAGGACTATAGTCCACCTGGGGTTCTCCTCCTACCTCTGGCAGCTTCTTTCCTTCCTTGATGCTGTTTCCTCTCCCACAATGACCTCACCCTCTCCTTAGCTTCAATTCCCCTCTGTGCACTGAAGATCCCATATTCCAGCCAAATCTGTCCCCACAGCTGTAGTTGCACACATTTAGCTGATATTCAATAATACTTTGGACTTCAGGCTTTAGGAGGACTTCATACAATAAAGCAGAGTTCCCAGTGTTCTGCCTGGTCTAGTAGATGCTTAGTAGAGGTAGATGTTATTATTATTACTATTATTATTTATTTGCAATTTGACTCTCAGTGTCATCTTAATGGCAGAAATACTGATTCAGAAAGGACAAACAAAAGCTCCTTCCCAGGAACTAAAGAGGGGATTGAAGTTCTTCCCCCAACCTCTAGAAACCACACCAATCACTGCAGGCTAGCCATTCTAGGAACCAGTTCCTAAACTTGATCTCCAAGTCCCCTAATTAATTAATTAGTGTTTCAGTGATTACTTCTGTTGACAGCCTTGGTGACTTTTGGCAAGGCTGGGTCAGCTCAAGCAAGTCCAGACTTATTAAGGCAAATCCCTCTGGTTTCTGGGATGTGAGACATGATCTCTGTATGGCAAGAAGCATCTAGTTAGAATTAATTGGGAGGACGAATGGGGGAGCACGAGGTCCTCTCAGCCATTGGCTGATGGCCTTGGTGCCATGGGTCACAGACAGGCCTCCAAATACCCCATAATGCCCATGGCAGCCTGCATCCTTTTGAGACTCAGCATGTAGCTCTGAAAATCACTCTCCTACCCTCCCTTCCTAGAGAACGAAGATCTCTTAGGTAATGACTATATTCTTCCTCATCTAGAGAAATCAGCTTGGATTGTGGCAAAAGGACTTTGGTTAAACACCCAGAAAAACTATTTTTCATGGTTATTTGGACAGGCATGCATGTCAGAGAAGCTGGGCTTTGACAGGGAGGCACAGCAGCTGCCACTGGACCACCCTCTGCACTGGGAGTGAGGTCTGTGACTCCAAAGTTTCCTCCCACCTTGGCACCTGGCTTCCCTGGGCCTTCATTTCTCAGCAGAGCCAGGAGACCTTGAAGTCCTTGCAGCTGAGATAGACTCTGATTCAGTGCCCTGGATTTTTCTGCCTGGGGTTCTTTCCCTTGTTGGTAGGCAGAGCATCAAGAAAGCCTCACAAGTTCCTGAAGCTCTAAGCACAACTATGCCACAAGCATGTGGGGCCCTCAGAATCTCTCCTAGAACCCTGGGCTCAGGCTGACTGCACAGAGATAAAGACTCGGAGTGCCAGGCCCAGCCCTTCAGGGATACAGATGTCAAGGCTGCCAAGAATATCCCCCTCTTGTCTTCAAAACTTCTAGGTAACCTGGTATCCAGGCTGGGCTTTCCATGGGGTGGGAAGGATGACCCTGCCCTCACAACAAAGCCGAGCCCTGTGGGTGTAAAGTAGGTGGTGGCTCTTATCACATTACAGGTTCCTACCCTGGCTTGCCCTGGATGATAACCCCAGAATGTGGGACTCTAAGGCCCTGGGTCCATTCCTCATCAGCCTGCAGCTTATTGTCACCTTTCCTGACTTCCTTCCTACCACCTCTTCTAGGCCTTTTCTGAAGCAGGGTCAATCCTGAAATCACAAACTCAGAGTGTCCCTATCTGGCCCAAACCCCTGTAACTCCCCACCACTGCACTTCTCATGGGCCCAGTTAGTTGGACCTGCTTCTTCTGCATGGCTCAACCCCACTTCATCTGTCCCCTATTTCTCTCCCTTCTGCCAAAGTGAGCAAGGGGCTCATGCCCTGCCAAGACTGGTCCCTTGTGTATGCTCTAGTCCCCACCCCGCTTCCTGGCCATGTTCTCTTTCCCTCCTGGTATTTCTCTTTTCAACTTATACAAATCCCAGTCTGTCCCATTTAAAAAGGGGAAAAGCAAATAAATAAAAGCTCTCTGGATCCCACATGTATTCTAGCAATGGTCTTGTTTCTCTTCCCACCACGACACGCCTTGTCTCTCACCTGGCCTCCACCCCTTGGGTACAGGGTTTGCCTTCACTGCCTGAAGGACAATAGGTACTCTCCAACTTCATGGGCCTTGGGTGGCCCACCTGCCCTTGCTCAGACTCACCTGGCTCTGCCTGTACAGTACTGGTTCTATCCTGGTGGTCTCTACTTCTGTCCCTGAGTCCAGGCCTCTCCTGAATTCCAGACCTAGAGCGAACTCCCTCCAGGGCATCTCCATTTGCATGTTGCACAGGCTCTTCACTCACACCCATGGGTCCATCCCATGCAACTTGCTGTCCTCCTTCAACCCTGCATCTCCTCTGAAGTAGTGTCTATATTTGCCTTCTGCTTTCAAAACCAGAAAACCAGATGTGTCTCCTGCTGGCTCCCTTCCCTCCCACCACATACAGTCCTTCATGAAATCCTGATGAAGAGGCCGCCTAAATCTCTAAAAGGACCCACTTCTCTTGATGCCCACTGCCAACAGCCTGGTCCAAGCCACCATCATCTCTTGCTGGACACCTGCCACAGCCTCCTGATGGTTCCTTCTCCTCCAGAGCTCCAACCCAGCCTCATGACACAGCTCCGGGGATTGTCAAAAATCAGGAATTTGTACAGCCCTCAGGATAACATGTACCTTCTCTGCTTTGGCTTCCGAGTTCCCCGCACCACCTGGCCCCAGCTCCCTTTACCTGGCCCATGGCATTTCACTCCGCTCCCTGCTCCTGGGACATGCCATGTGCTCCCTCTCCTCGGTACCTTCACATCAACTGATCCCTAGCTCATGTGTACCCTACCCCTTCTCATCTGGCCAACTCCAGCCCAGGGAACTGCCACTTCCCTCAGGGCTGTCTTCTCCCATATCCAGCTGACTTACTTCCTTGTGTTTACTGCTGGACGTTCAACTCTGAGAGGCCACAACCTGGCCAGTCTCACTCACAGTTCTAATCCCACTGCCTTGCACAGTGCTAAGGAGTCAGTGCTGGATAAGTCTTTGTTAATAAATGACCCAACTGCACCCCTTCCTTCCCTTCCCTTGACCCCCACTAACCTCTGACATCTGCGGGAAGAGGCTGATAGCCAGTGGCAGGGCCAGGCCGAAGGCTGCCAGGCACACGAGGCTTTGCACAGGCAGGAGCAGCCGGGGGCGCGCCTGCAAGAGAGCCGTCCTGTGGGGGAAAGGAAAGGAGGAGACAGTGAGGACCTAAAGATAGTATGGGTTGGCTACTAGCTAGCGTGCTGGGTCCTATTCAGTCTCAGGGCAGAGGAAATATGGTTCTGTGGTCAGTGCCAGCACCTAACTAAACAGATACAGCAGAATTCTGTCTTTGAGGCCTTCTCCAACTGTCATCCCTCTTGCCAGGTCCAGCCCTGTGTCCAGAAGGTCACATGTGTGGGAGATAATAGAAGGGGCTGTCTGTCACTGCTGCTGGGGAGACATGAAGGAGTCAATTAAATAGCAAAAAACCCAGACCATCCAGCAGAAAAAACAAAGCACACAGATCCATCCATATACACATGCACAGCCCAGAGTGGGGTCCTGTCCTAAGTGTGGGAGCAGGAGACATCCCACGGACCACCTCATCAACTTCAATCCAAGAGCCACAGAGAGGGGCAGGGACTTGCCCAGAGCCAAGGCCAAATCTGTTGCTGCTGCCTGAACTCCTGGTTTCCTGTGAGTACTTCACCCCAAGCTACTCCTAACCCCCACCTTCAGGACATTTTGCCAGCTTCCTCCCCAGCATGGCACAGCTGGCCCCACTCCCTTTGGCAGACTTTAGAGATGAGGTTTTTGGATGAGAGAGAAGCATGAAAACCCTCCCTCCAGGACCCTGAGTGTTCCAGGAAAGAATGGGGTCTGGAGACAGTGGGGACCACCACACCAGCTGGCAAGTGCACCTTAGCCACGCTCACCAGAGCTTTCCATGGTGCATGATCCAGCAGGCCCCAGAGTGGAGACCACAGCATTCGACCTGGTGGAAGCAGAGGGAGGTATGAGGGAGCCAGCATGCTGGATAACTGCACTATTTGCCAAAGGATGTTACGTGGGTACTAAAGCTGACCTCTGCATCAACCTCCATGTGGCAAACTCCTGTGAGGCAGCTGGTTAAAAATGCAAACTCCCAAGGGATTTACCCACTGAGAGTCTGACTCCTTTGGCAGTAGACCTAGAAATTTGTATTTGAAACAACCCCAGTGCATCTAAAATAGGTAATCCCAAGATCACACTTCCAAGAAACCCAGTCCCAGGATGTCCTTGCTTAGGTAGTAATAAAGATTCAATTACTTAACTATTTTATGCAAGAAAAAGGATCAGTTCCTGCCCGGCCTTCAGTAAGTGTTCTGTAATTGTGTGTCATTATCGCTGTGGTTACTGCCTGTGCAATACATGCAGAAGGAGTGAGAGCCTAGTGGCTGAGCTGTCTGCTAGTCTTTCACATGGGTGCAGACCCTGAGATTTATCCAGCTATCAAATTAAGCCTGAATTGAGCTATAGGAGCGGGGGTTCCACAGGATTAAGAGCACAGGGGGGTGGGCCGGGCATGGTGGTGGATGCCTGTAATCCCAGCCCTCACCTGTAATCCCAGCACTCAGGGAGGCTGAGGCAGGAGGACTGCTGTGAGTTCAAGTCCAGCCTGGGCTACATGGTGAGTTCCAGATCAGTCTCGACTACATAGTGAGACCCTGTCTCAAAAAACCAAAAAAAGAGCACAGTGGGTGCAGTGTCCTATTTTTTTTCCTCTGGTCCACGCAGGCTCCACACTTTCCCAGAAATCAGCTCAAGGCCTCTTGCGCTCCCTTAGGAGTCATGGAGGGACTAGAGAAAGGGTAGGACCAATTGCATGATGGCTTTCAGCTCAGATCCACTTCTTAAGCACAACTACATACAGAGTGGGACCCACGGCCTGCTCCCTATAGCAGCACACATGCTGGGGCTGCCTCCTGTTCCAGTGGCCATGACAGAAGGATGTGATGTTCCAGGAGAGCCCTGAGGGAAACGGGTGACAGGGAAAAAGAGTGACGTTCCCTCTAGGCAGCCAGATGAGGGTCAGATCTTGGGCTCCCATCTTGGAACTTCCACAGAGGCAGAAGGCATTGCATAAATCCCCTTCTGTATGGCCTGTGACTTGGGCTCTCTTGAGGTGGCTGACTACAGACTCCTGTGGGCAGGGAGCCTAGGAAGCCCCAGTCCTGTGCTCCCAACTCAGGAAAAAGGCAGGTCCAAGGCGGTAATCAAACCAGAGCATGGGAGTCCCAGCTCCAATCAGGCACAGCGAACTTAGCAGGGCAGGGGGAGGGGAAGAGGAAAGGGAAATGGCAGGAAGGGATTGGAAAGGCAGCTGGGGGAGTTAAAATATGCAGATGGAGAGATGTGCAATGCCTGGAGAAAGGAAAGACCCGGATCCCAGGGAAGGAAGGAGGAAGAGGGAGCGGACTTAGGGACCCACCAAGGGTATGGCCTGGACCCCCACCCAGCATAGATCCAGCCTGCATTTTCCAGGTGCACCCCGGGGCTCAGGAGTGAGCCACAGCCCTCGGCCCTCCGGATGCAGCAAAGGTGACACCTGGAAGCTAGAGGGATTATATCTGGGGGACTCATCCTAGTCTTAAATCAAAACCCAGCTTCCCTGTGGGGAGCTAGAAGATGCGACCTGTGTACACCTGCATCTCCTCAGTCAGCCCAGCTCTGAGCTGCAGATACTGTACTTCTTACTGGAGACTTTCCTTTCAGTCTCAGAGCCAAAGACTGTGGAGCTGTAGCTCCTGCCTCTCTTACCCTAACAGGAAGCCCTGGCTCCTTAGCTAAGAGTGCTCCTCCTAGAGACGTTAAAGTGAGGCCAGAGGCAAGCAAGTCAAGTTCCAACCCTGCCACACAACAGCTGGTCTCCCCCATTGCTGTGCATTCCTTCAGCAGTTTTAATTTGCACTCCATTAATTTGCAAGTAGGCTGCTTTGTAAGTGTTCTTTTGTCTTTTTTCTCTGGCTGTCCAGACTCCCTCACCCATTCTGGGCTCCAGGGGTAGGGGCTGCCTCCCCCACCAGTCTCCTCAGCAGAGGCCCTGAGCTAGAGCGCCTCCACCCTAAGACTGTGGAATACTTGGCAGGGCCCCTACAGTGGACCAAAGAGCTTCTGGATAGTGCAAAATGCAAAGCCCCAGTAAATAGTGTCCTTCTTTTCCAGGGAGAAACTAAGGTTGACAGAAGTTCGGTGACCACAACTGATTGGCAGGAAATGGTGGAGCAGGAGCCTAGGTTTCATCTTCCTACCAGAAGTCTCAGCTCACTCCACTACCGGCCCTGCCTCTCTTACCGCCCACTCCTGCAGTCAGTGTATGTGTGAGATTAGTAAGTCTTTGAGGACACAAACCAGGTCTTATTCATCTTGTTACTCATGGGAAAACTCAGGCTAGACTCTTTCACCTCCTCAGAAACCCTCCCTGGATCTCCAGGAGGAGCACCAAACATCTAACTTCTCACCACGCTACCCAGTGGATTCTTTGGACCCTGAGTTGAACCAGACCATGCGGCATACAGGACACTAGGTACAATATAGTCTGGGGGGGTTCAGAACTGCCCATACCACCCCCCATGACTCTTAAAGCAAAGTTTAAGTCCCCAAACCAATGGGACATTAACCATTATCCCACTTCTCTTTTCTTTTCTTTTTTGGTATGGGGATCAAACTTGGGACCTTGCAAGGCAGGCACGTGGCAGAACCACTGTGCTAAATCCCCAGCCTTTATCCCACTTTCTGAAAACTCTTCTCAGATGCAAACCAGGAAGGCATCACAGGCTTCCCATAAAGAACAGTCCCTGGATGGCCTTGGCTGAGCCAACCCTCCTGCTTGTAGTAACTGTAGAATGTGTTGGGATTACAATATCCTGAGATAAGGAGGAACTACAGCCCAGGCTCTATTCCCATTTCTCCCAGCACAGGATGTCCTGCAATGTTCTAGCCCGGCAATCTGTTTTCCAGGGGTATAAAACCCAAAGCAGAGTGCTTTCTGGGTTCCTCAGCTGCAGTGTGACATGGACCATGGACAGATAAGACACCATTTTCTCTGAATGACTTTCTTAAGCCTTGAGGGACCAGCTTGCTGTAAATCTTGGGTCTCCATAGCCTTCTGATGCCTATCCATGAATACTGAGGTTTCTTTGCTTGTCATGTAAGTGTTCTATCTTACCAGCATCATGCAAGTGACTGATAACCAGTGTACAGTGAACCTGCCTCACACGTCCAAGGTTCAGGATTCAGCAGCCTTGAAGATATTTGTCTCCTCACCTCTTTGTGTGTACTTGCAGTGGCTGGTGGTTGGGGACAATCTTGTTTCACTAGGGAGCTACAGATACAAGACCCAGAGGTACAAAAGAGATTACCCTCCTAAGATCTGCCTTTTGAACTTCCATACTGGATGAATTTCTTTCAATCCCAATGTCCAACATGCCTTGCTCAGGTACCGAGAAGCACTAACTTTTTCTAGGGTGACAAAGATGATCTCAGCCAGCCTCATGGGGTCTTTTAGCTGTTGGCCCCAATGAGAATGCTTTGCTTTGGCCAGGATGGACTCTTCAATGTCTGCAGAACAGACCTGCAGCCTTCCCAGAGAGTCCTCCCTTCTACAAAAACTCCTATCCTGCTCTTAGCCATCACCTCCTCACCATCACCCACACAAGCCAGGGCTCTAAACCCCTAGGTTCTCTCCATTTAGGGCCCTTCCCTGCTCTGTGATATTCTCCTGGGTCTAACCTAGACCTCAGGGCCTGGTTCCTTCCTTGCTCTCTGCTCAGGCTCTCTCTGCAGCACTACCACTTAAATCCTCACCATTCATTTCACACTCGTTAATTAATAGAATCTCTCTCTCTCTCTCTCTCTCTCTCTCTCTCTCTCTCTCTCTCTCATACTTCAGATCAAATTTAGGGGCTCTGTACCACTGAGCAACATCCCCAACCCCTTTTTTTATTTGAAAGAGGATCTCACTAAGTTGCCTGGCTCGCCTCAAAGTTTCAATCCTGCAGTTTCATCTTATTAATATTATTACGTTTCCTTATTTCTTTACAGTCATGACAGATATGCATCCTTAGACATTCCCTCTGAAGGAGGCAGGTAGGTTACTCATGGCAGATGCTACAAAGAATGATGCTGGCCTTAAAACCCAGGCTTCCTACCAGAGAACTCAAATTCTGCCTCACCATTCACTAGGAGAGCATGTGTACACACAATACACACACACACACACACACACACACACACACACACACACACACACACACACACACAAAAGCACCAGCTACACACACACACACACACACACACACACACACACACACACACACACACACACAAAAGCACCAGCTCCGCAGGGTGGGGCTAACCCTGTCTGTGGCTGTCCCACAGCCCCTAGCATACAGCCTGCATAGTAGGAATCCACAAATTCTCACAGAACCATACCACACCCACTTCCTGGGAGTCTGACAAAGAGCAGGATATTTTTTTTTCCCTGAAACAAACTTGAATCCCCTCCCCACTCCTCCCTTTTGCTCCTCCATTCCAGCTGCCCAACTTACTTCTCCAGCATGGACATGACAATCGGGGGAAGCACCAGGATGGGCATAGGCAGGACCACTCGAGTCAGTGCCGTCTCCAGCAGGGCCTGTGAGGCAAGACAAGCTGTAGTGAGAGGCTCCTGGGGTGAGAGATGGCCACCTGGCAGCAAAGCCTGCCCCAGAGGCTCTAGGTATGTGTGCTGCTATTAAGCACATCTGGCAACGAAGAATTATTCATGGAATTGCTCACAAAGCTGCATTACAGTCAACAGAAAAAAAAAGCCACCTCCGTCTTCTCACCACACACATTTGGAAAGAGCAGATTCTTGTCACCTGCCACATGTTGGAGAGGGGTGGTGACAGAAGCAGCCCCAGGAAGGGGCCAATACACAGGCAGGTGCTTTGGGTGGAGAGGGCAACCTCCCCAGCCTGGGATGTACAGGGGCTGGGAGTAGCACATGGAGGACCTGAGATGCTCTCAAAACAAAGCAGATGATAGAAGGCCTAGAACAAACACCTGGAGCTGGACATTCTGGAATTTACTTTTTGGGGGATGGGCATCTCTGAAAGACAAAGATTCAAAGCATATGTGTCTCTGGCTCTAGAAGAGTCCTTCCTAGTGACAAGAAGTCAGCTTTGTAAATAAAGGGTCCGTATTTCTGCAGGGTTTCCATCAAGGGTCTACCTGGCATCCTTTCCTTGCTCTTGGGGATCCCGTAGTATCCTCATGGTCCAGCTCAGTGGCAGTTCTGTGCTCTGATGGCCATTCTGAGGAGTCTCTTTAACCCCACGGGCTGCCATCCACAGCAGAGTTTCCAGCTATGGCTCACAGCCCACCAATCCTGGAGTCTTTCCCCAGACAGCAAGGAAGAGACAGAGCCAGGCTGAAGGGAGCCCAGGGCTACAGAAGAGACTGGGCTTCTTTGCTGGTTGAGCCACATAATTATACTCCCTGATGAAGACTGGGGAAAGAATAGCGTTGGGGTCAGGTAGGAAACTGAAACTAAATCCCTTCTGATGATGGGCTCAAGTATGGAAGTTTCAGAACTTGGGCCCTTCACGACCAGCCTCAGGAATGCCACAGAGAAGGTCCCTCCAAACTCCTGAACAGCTGTGGGAAGGATGAGAGGGTCCAGAGTCAGGCAGAGTGCAAAACAAGCACTGTTGCATGTCCCCCAGCTTCTGGCCCTGCATACTTCTGGATAGGCACAGCCTTGCCCTGACACTGATGGGACTAGGAGGGTAGGGACCCAGAGAGCACTCTTCCCAGATTGCAGGCTCATCATGTGGCCTCATGGACAGGGGTGTATACTTAAGCCACCTCGTGGCTGACCACTTGCCCCTTCCCAGCACTCAGAGACTACAGGACAACAGCACAAGCCACAAACCACCATCAGGACAAAGGCAGGGAAGCACAGGACATGGACACATGGACTAGGAGGTTTGTTTTTTCCCTTTAAATTACAGTGCCAGGGGCTGGGGGAGACAGTGAAACAAGTTAAGAAAGAGGGTCTTGTAACAAAATATTCTCCAGTTGCCTTTCCAAAAGCCTGAGAGCCCAGGAGCTCCCAGTGCTGGGTCCCAGTGAGGCAGCACTACAGAAGGGCCTATTAGCCAGATCACACCCCATTCACCTCCAGCTTCCTCTTTTACCCAAGAGGATGGCAAGGCCCAGGGTGACAGGTCCCTGGATCCTGGGGACTGGGAGCAAGCCCTGGGGGGTATCTCCCTTACCCTCGCCAATTAACACTTCATCTGAGGAGCTGGTTCCTGAGGGGCTGGGACAAGAAATGAGGACATTTTACAGTGGTGATGGGAGGAGAGACTGGAAAGAAATGAAGAACTGTCCAGTGAAACAAGATTGGCTGGGGACAGACCTTGAGGCCTGGTGCTCCTACAGATAGGAGATGGTGGGGATGAGGAGGAGATATCAAGAGGGTAAAACCAGGGTACTGCAGTGAGAGCATCCCAGGAAAAATCAACTCCCTGCCAAGGCCCCTCAAGCCCCCAAGCCAACCCACATGTCTGGCTGCAATCTTGGAGGAGCCCACGAGGTTGCCATCAGCATCCAGGACATCAATCCCTTCCTCCAGCTCCCCGTACCGCATCAGGACCACGTTGCAGATATTGGCACTGGCTGGAGAGAAAAGGGTGCAGGGAACAGGTGTGAGGGGGAGAAGGCATTCCACCTGGGGGCAGCACCAGCTTTTTACCCTGTCACAACAGTTCTGAACAAATGCTAAGGCTGCAAAGGATGGAGGGAGGTATGTTTCTATTGTCCCTTTGCCTATCATGCTGGTGAAGGATTCGGGGACCCATGGGAGCATGGTGAGCAAAGACAAAAGACAATGGGTGTTGGTAGGGACCATTCGGGGCTTAGGAGAACCACCATCTATAAAAGGTGCCGCTTTCTTCTCCTCTGGGGCAGCCTCATTGGCAGGCAAAGTAGAGGCTGATCTGTTAGGGCTCTCTGAGGCCGATCTTCCATCATCAGTGACTCAGCCACTCAGACTGCCCTATCCTCTTGAAATGCCAGTCCCCACATCAGTCCTTCATTCTCCTCACAGCAAATCAAGTTCCCAGAGATTTGCATCTCTGACAGCAGGTGCCAGAGCAGGCGGGAACCTCAGTGCTTACCCAGCACCACCCCCTCATCATATGGATGGGACTGAGGCTCAGAGAGGGGGGTGACTTAACTGAGGTCACACGGCAAATAAGCAGAGCTCTTCCAATGGTTGTATGCCTTGGTTTGGCCAGGTGCTTTCCTGTCCCAGTTTGGATCCTGGGGACCCGGACTGAGTGGTAGCTCCTGGCTCCTCACTTAAGCACTGGACACAGAGCCTGTGGGATCCATCAGCGGGCCATTAACTAGGGGTGCCCCCTCCTGTTCTCCTCGCCCAGGACTCGGGAGGCCAGGCCTAGGTTCCTGGTGGGGTACAGTCAGCCTTGCCCTGAATTCCTCCAGCTCTGCTTCAGGATGAAAGTGGGGAGATTTGGGGGTGGTGGGCGAGTGGGGAGTGGGGGTGACAAATGCAGAGCCCGCCTGCTTCACTCCTCCCCCCAAAGCGCCTTGCTGTGTTTAAAGTTTTAATTTTTGCTAATTAATGTCAATTAATTTTGTATAATGAGTGTTTAATTTTGGGGAGTGTGTGAGCCTGAGAGCGACTGCAGTTCTGGGCTGTGAACGCTGATTAGCATCAACACCTGCTGCTTCCCCCTCTCCAGTGTGGGGGGGTGCCCGGGTTTGGGGAGTTGGAGGGTGACGAGGCCCAGTAGGCAGGCGGAGTAGGAGGGAGCCCACAGATGCTCCTGGGGCCAGAGCCAAGGGCCAAAGAGCTAGTGGTCTAGGATGCTCACAGCTGGGAGTCAAGACTCTGCAAGTGAGGGGTAGCTTAAGACCCTGGAATCTCCGAGCCCATCTCTGTTTCATTGAAGTGGGGAAGAGGAATAAAGTGAGGCAAAGACTGAAAGGCTCTGCAGTCTTTGGAGAGAAAAGCAGTTCTGAAATGCATTTAGAGCACATATGCCATTTTTGAGCATCTCTACTGTTGCCGCATGACATTGCGTAGTGCTAACCACAGGCAGACTTCTGTGGCCGGGGTGCAAGCCTTTCCTGTCCCCACAGCAGGCACATCACTTGTTATAAAAGGTGGCTTACAACCAGGTGTGATTCTCAGGGGCATTTGGTCATATCTGGAGATGTTTTTGATTGTCACGATCTGGGAGTGGGGGTGGGGTGCTGCTGGCATCTAGTGAGCAGAGATCAGGATGCTGCTAAACACCCTGTGATGCACAGGGCAGCTCCACAACAAACGATTACGGGGCCCCCAGGTCAACAGTGTCGATGCTGAGAAGCCTTCCATCTGAACAACAACCGGAGGGGCTTAGGAAGGTGAATCTGAGGTAAAAGAGATTCAGGGAGCAAAGAATGACCTGGAGGAAGGCTTGGAAGCCTGGGTTTGGGGCCATCTCGGTTAGCTTCCAGTCCTGGCTCTCCCTATTTACCCCCAGAAGGGAGCTCCTGCTCTGAGATGTTCAGGGCCCAGAAGGGCCCCCAGGGCGGCCTTGGGAAGTCAGCACCCGGCCTCGGTGTTAGTGACACGCCCTCTAGTGGCAGTAGGGATACTCTGCCTATTCCATGCCCCCGGGGCTGCCAGGCCTCAGTTCCCAGGAGACCAAGAAAACCGTGGAAGGAGACAGTGGGGTTTTCTGCCCAAGGAATCAATCCCTGCCTTCTGAGATTGTCTTCTGCTGCCACCACCACTGCTTCAGAAAAGGCAAGGTTAAGGACTGTGGCCCGGGGACTGAGCATGCCCTGAAGGTCAGAGACCAACACCCCTGCCCCTGGTAGTCTTTCCCAGGTGTGAAAGGAGAGGCACCATTTAGGTTTCTGCAGGGTCTCTGGGTGTAGGCTGCACACACAGGACACCAGCATCTGCCTGTGCCCAGACCAGGGCAGAAGAAGTGCAGACAGCTGAAATGTCTGTAGCCCCCATTTATTGTGTATATATGTGGGTGGAAAACAGAGAGGACAGAGTGTGGACTTGGGAGGTGGTGGTGGGCCAACTCATCTTGCAATTTCCAAGTATGGAATGCAGGGACAGTGTGACCCAGCAAGACCTCGGTTCAAACACAAAACCATGTTAAACAGAAGGAAGTGAAACTCAGCCTCCTTACTTCCCCTCAGGCAGCCTCTCTGGGACACTACTGGGGATAACAATGGCCCTCTCTCCTCTAAATGACCAGGATGAAAAAAGATAGAGAAAACCCTGACCACCTCAAAATGATGGTGACTCCCAGGGCCTTCCCCTGATGGTGCATGTCTTAAATCTCTCCTGTTGACCATTTACATTGGTGCTGAGCAGGGAGGACACTAGCCTATGACAGCTATTTTTTTTTCCTTTTTTTTTTTGGTTTTTTGAGGCAGGGTCTCACTATGTAGTTGAGACTGACCTGGAACTCACTATGTAGTCCAGGCTGGTCTCGAACTCATAGCAATCCTTCTGCCTCAGCCTCCCGAGTGCTGGGATTACAGGTGTGAGCCACCATGCCCGGCCTATGACAGCTATTGCATATCCATCATGTCATCAAGAACTTTTGATTCTGCCATACATATCCCTTCCAAACCTCCCCAGGCCCCATCCCACTCCCAGGAAGTCCATCTCCTAGACAGAGAACTCAGAGCCTAAGGGAAGGGAGGGAGGGAGAGAAGAGAAAGAGGTACAACCTTGGGTCTCTTTTCTGACACACCAGCAAGATCTATTATTGACAGTATCAGCGGGTTAATTAAGCAGTCTGTTAGTGATAATGTTAAGAAAGCTGGCACATTTTCAACTTAGATTGACACCATTCAAGACTCAGGCATAAATGATGTTGGAGAAGCAATGCTAGGAAATGGAGAGAGAGAAAGACAGAGAGAGGGAGGAGAGAGAGAGAGTTACCTCATGCTGATGGCAAACTCAGTGTCAAGGCCTCAGAAAAACATGCTCTTGCCTGTTACAGATGTTCTTACAGCCAAACTGATGCAAAGGCAAGTGACTGTGAGCAGCTCAGGAAGCACCCAGAGTAAAAGGAACAGTGTGAGGAGAAAGAAAGAACAGAAGACAAATGAAGGCAAATGTTCAGGTTGCAGGGAAGCTCGGCCATGAGCTAGTACTGAACGGATGGGCAGGACAATGCCGGGGACCAGTCCAGCAACACATACACCTGTGCCAGAAATTTACTGGAGGAAAAGAAGCATTCAAACACACAGCTGAAGCAATGGGCTACTGATTTTGGGGAAATAAGACAGCATAACTCCTTGATTCTAAGTGGTATTTTTCCCACATTTCAATTTTTTGTGTGGGGGTATGGGGGTTCAAACCTAGGAGTACACTACACTGAGTTATACCCCAACTCTTTTTATTTAATATTTTGAAAGAGGATCTCGCTAAGTTGCCCAGGCTTGGCTTGAACTTGCCACCTTCCTGTCTCATTTCCTGAGTAGCCAGGATTATAGGCATGTACTACCTCAATGTTTTAAAACCTCAATGTTTTAAACCTCAGTGTTTAAACCTCAATGTGCCATATCTCAATGTTTTAAAAGTCATGAGTTACCTCACAATGGCTATTGGGGCCCGGAGGATAGGGTGGGGGATTATACCTGCTACCTAGAGGAATCTCTATTCAAATGTCACCTCAGCCGACCATAGCAATCCATACAGAATTTGAACTTAAACTTAGATTCCTAATTGTTGCCTAAAACATCTTTTTAGAACTTACACTATAATGGTGCACGGACATGAAAAGTTATTGTACATGCAGAAGATCGTCTGCCAGATACCAGGCAATGCAATTAAAGGCAGTAGAAATTGCCAAACCATAGATAGCTACCCTAAAGAAATGCTTGCCCATATGCACAAAGAGACATTTACAAGGATGTTAATTATAGCACTGTTTGTAAGAGCAAATAATTAGAAACAACCTAAATGTCCACCATTAGGGAACTCACATGGGAAGATCTCCAAAACAAATTGTTATGTGAAAAAAGCTACTGAGAGTGTGTGCATGATGAGTTACTGTATGTAAAACCCTGTAATTGGTATACATACATATATGTGTGCATAAATCCACAGGTAAGGTTTGGAAGGCTCACACTTCACAGATTGCTGCCCTTGAAGAAGTAAACTCAATTTGAGATTTAGAGGTTACTGAGAGACTTCTACTTTTTACACAAAATTTTTCTATATTATTTGAATGTTTACAATGTGAATGTAATCATGCTTTGCTTACCTAAAAAGCCATCTTAGAAATATGGGAGTCAAGATCTATTTTAATCCACAATGTGAGAAATGGGAAGCTGGGAAAATATATTATATATGATAAACAAAGGGCTCTGATATTAAGTTATGGAGGGTAACAAGGGGAAAAAATGAGAACCAAGACCTGTCATGTAAAGGTACAAGATCCCAATAATAATGTAACTGTACTGTGTACCTAAAATGTACCAATAAACTCAATGAGGAAAAAAAAAAGTTATGGAGAGTAATGGTGACAGACTCCTAACAGCTATTCTACCTCCCCACACAATTAGTTCAAACAAATAGTGATAACCCTCCCCTTCCCAATGATTGGTCTAGGAAGAGACTTGTGACCCAG